AAAAGTACCCAGGAAGAAGAAGAAAAATAATAATAACTAGTGCTAATTGTAACGGGAACCGTTACAGATGTTCCCCAAACGCTCCCCAACTCCCTTTTGGTGCCATATTCCCTGTAAGCCTTATTAAATAAGACAACATCTGTGCATTATTGACTTTAACAAGGTTTTCCCAAAAGGATGCCAATTATATTCAAATTTTAACATTGCACGCGTGCCCATGTGAATGCACGTGCATAATGATCATATAATCTTGTCTACACTTTCTATATATTAAAATATACTTTATATGAAAGCATTTAGTCCAAAAGTATTAAAAATCACTCATTCAATTGTATTTTCAATTTCACTCGTTCCAAATGCACGCACGTGCGTGCACTTGCATGATGACCATACCTTCTTCTAGGGGGTCCTTATATCTATCTATGTTCTAAATCCCATCCTGTTTGGATGAAAACCAAAGGAATTATAGCCATTTCAAGTTTCAGCCAATCAGATTGCAGCACACGTGCATCCACGTGATTTCAAGACTTTTTTTCTAAATCATATTGTAGAATATCCTAATGCATAACTATGTTTTAAATTTCAAAGCATTTCATCAAAAATCAAAGGAGATAAGGCCATTTGAAGTTTCAGCCAATCAGATTGCAGCACACGTGCATGCACGTGATTTCTTGAATTTTTTTGTATATCATATTGCAGGATATCCTAATGCGTCACTATGTTTAAAATTTCAAAGCATTTCGTCTAAAAATAAAAGAAACAAAGGAGATATAGCCATTTAAAGTTTCAGCCAATCAGATTGCAGCGCACGTGCATGCGCGTGATTTCATCATTTTATTTCCATATTATATTGTAACATATCCTAATCCATGACAATGTTAAAAATTTCAAAGCATTTCGTCGGAAAACAAAAGAGATATTGAGATTTTTGTTTCAGCCAATCAGAGGAAGGCGCACGTGCATGCGCGTGAGTTCATGCTAATTTGAGAGTGTCATATTATTAACACTTTTAATATATCCTTATACAATGAGTTTCAAAGCATTTCATCAAAAAATGTAAAAGTTATAGCTATATTAAGTATATCAGTCAATTCACTCATTTCACGCGCACGCACGTGCAGGCGTATGCGCGCAAAATGACCTTCGTTCCGCACAGAAAAATTTTATAGAACAAATCTACACTACACACCTATTAACCCTAAAAAGGTTTTAGCTCAGTTGGGTGAACAGTTTCTGAGAACACTCGCGGACAAAAAAGTACCGGAGAACAAATAAGAAAAAAAAAAATAATAATAATAATAAGAAACAGAGTAAAAACAATATGTTCCCAAACTCCGTTTGGGGAACATAATAATAACTAGTGCTAATTGTAACGGGGACCGTTACAGATGTTCCCCAAACGCTCCCCATCTTCCGTTTTGATACCTTTCTCTACAAACTTCACTAAAGATGTGTAACACTTTTTTATATTTAATACAATTTAAATATTTTAAGAAGTATTTTAATGGCAAACAAGGGCGTTCCATGTGAATAGAAATATTTAGAAAAGGCAGTTTTCCTATTTCAACAAGAAATAAAAAAAGCACTCAGACTCAGTACCATGCGAGTCGCAATATTTAGAAAAGACCCTCTTCTCTGTAAACAAAAGACACCCGGCGTATCATGTGAATGGTTGTATTTAGAGGGTTCGTATATGGGAGATTATTAATTCACAAAGATTTTTTTTAAATAAAAAAACCCACTCACACGGCGGACCATGTGAATGGCAATGTTCAGACATCACTGCTAACTTTGACACAAGTAAACTATATATATGTATTCAGAAAAGATTGTTTTCCTTTTAATAAAAAAAACACCACTCACATGGCGGACCATGTGAATGGCAATGTTAAGACATCACTGTCCCCTTACTATTTGTTAACTTTGACACAAAGTAACCTATAGTTGATTAAAAACAGGCCCTGCATCAGACAGCCTGCATTACTATAATAGTGTCTTAATGTGTATACAAGAAACATGTTGTCATCCCATGAGAATCCCTCGCAAGGCATATAAAGACACAGATTGCAATTCAAGACATATAAGATTTTGTAATTTTTCGGAAACATTTTTTAAGAAAGGAACTTTGTCTTTCTTTTTTTCAACATTACACTTTTTAGTCTTCCGAAGGGTCATCAGACAGCCTAGGAGACGACGACAATGTCATTCCGTATATTTTACTTTTTCGCCGTGCAATGCAAGGGTTCATCAAGACGTCGCAATGTCATGATGCACGACACTGATTCCTCCTTTCAGAGCTCTCCATGCCAAGAAGAAAAATATTCCTCTAGCGTATATAAGAAAAAAAAATACCCCTCACACGGCGGACCATGTGAGAGGCGGTAAGTATATGAAAATGACTGTCTGACTATTTCTCCACTAATTAAACCTGTAAGGTCTAAGTATGCCACATAACAAACAACACATAACAAATGCTTTATGTCCAAAATGTATTGAACACCGTTTCGCCCTGTAAGGGCTCATCAGGCCGCCTAGCAGACGACGACAGTGTTTTTTTTTTTTTTTTTTTTTTTTTTTTTTTTTTTTTTTTTTAAACGTTTTTTCTCATAATCAATTAACATGTATGACAATAAATGTACAATAAACATATGCTCTATATTAAAATGGACATGAATTGAATAAAATCTGTATATAGCTTTAATCATTATTATCGCGCATCTGTAGAACATTTAAATTAATAAGTTACATCGTGCATTTTCTCTCTTATCCAATTAACATGTATGACAATAAATGTACAATAAACACAATTGTTATATTACAATAGACATGAGTTATATAGAATCTGTATGTACATTTTGCATTCTCATTGTGCATCTATCGAACAGTTGTTACATTGCTTTACAAATTTTACAATTTAATAGAAATCGCATCATGGAAACTATAATACAAATGTTCAATTGTCACATTTGGATCTTCTGGGAAGTCTTTTGCGAGCACCAAGTCGAGACAAGAGCCACTCTCTGTCGTTGGCTTGTTCACAAGTTGTTGGTAGCCATAGCTTGTAAACAACGTTTTTAGAGATGGTTTTCCAAAGTAGTTGTCATTGAAATCGCCCAGAATCAACACTGGGGAGGATATTTCTTGATTGATTTGGGATAATAGAGAGCTGATTTTGGCTTTAAACTTATCCATTGGATATATTGGAGGTCTGTATATCACGAACACCGCTACCGCTGTTGGTTCTAATATTTGTATTGACACACACTCTAAGTCCTTTACTTTGGTCGTGTACCTTGTATGTTTGACATCTTTTGTAAATATTGCGACCCCACCCTTAGCCTGTGATTTTAGTTGTCGAAATATGGGATCAGAGGATGTGTATGCATCCTCTCGATAGACTGCGTGAACATCTGAGTTTGGAATTAAGCTGGGAGGTACGTAGTCTTTCTTGGTAAGCCATGTTTCTGTGAAACATATAACTTGGGAGTCATTCACAAAACCAGCGTTTTCAATGTCTTTCCTATGTGAGAGGAGACCTTCTGTATTATGCAACAATAGTTTCAGACAATAACATTTGTCATCAACACCAGTTTGGAGGAGGTAGTTTGGCATGCTAGAAAGTGATTCCTTAATTTCTGCTGACGCAAAAATACAATCTGTGTCAAAATGCAAGATGTTGAGTCCTTGTAATGTAGTTGTTCTACTTAATGCTACATATGCCATTCCTGGTTGAAATATCTTTTGAAGTGAAACTACTACTTGTGTTGTTGTCATCCCTTGCACTTTGTGAATGGTTGCTGCCCAACCCAGCTTAAGTGGCAATTGTTTTCTGAGTGCATTTCGTCCTACAAGAACATCTTCATATGGCGTTATACGGACAGCTTTTTCTGATCCTTGTACATTTGAAACTGTGGTGGAGATGGCTTTTCTGCCAATGTTTTCGTTATCAAATTGTATATATACCGCATCGATGTCATTTCCCCTGACCTCTATAGCAGATATTGTACCAAATGCGCCATTAACAAGACCATCTTCTGTATCAATGTTTCTTGTTAGCATAACCCGTGCATTGATTCCAAGTTTGATTATGTCTGGTAGGTTTTCTGGCGATGAGGAGGAATAGGGTAGCTTTCGCAAGAGCAGCGTACCTGAGGTACTTTTTGTGTAATCTTTGGCTGTTGAGTACAGACATGGACTGCAGACTGTTTCTACCATCTGTTCATTGTGTGCATCCACTTCGTTGTTGGTTGAAAATATATGCAAAGCATTCTTTGACTCTATCGGAATTGACTCTTTAGAAACAGACTGAAGGAGTTGTAAGTCTGTTTGTTGCAATGGTTCTCCCCGCAATCGGACTCTTAGACGATTTAACATTTCGGCAAACTTTACATCTTCCTTTTGACGCATGATCTCAGACAGGCTGGCAATTTGGAATAATGGATTCCAGAGATCTAAAATTATGGAATCCTTTAGCTTGTACAGAGGAGATGCCTTCACTGGAGGAAGCTGGTAGAAATCACCAACAGCTAAAATTGCAACATTTCCAAACACCTTCTTAGATTGTTTAATTTGGGTCAGCCTGCCATGGATGTATGTTAGAAGTTTGTGGTCTACCATCGAAATTTCGTCAATGATAAGGAGTTTTAAGTGCTCATATTTTGCTCTTAGCGAGTTTAGGATGTTTTCCCCCAAAGGCGTGTATGGGAGTTTAATATTTTTGCTAATCCCAAATGCTGAATGCAAAGTCATACCGCCTATGTTGAATGCAGCTGTTCCAGTTGGTGCTGTTATAAGCACCGATAAAGCATCAGGTGTTTCAAGTGTTTTGGATAGAATTCTGTTTGTTTCGTGATATATGCATTTTATGAGATGCGATTTTCCTGTTCCTGCTCCTCCGGTTAGAAACAGATGAAAGGGATCAGGAGACTTTTTCCATGCTACTTCAAATACCCATTCTCTTACTTTGTAGAATACTTGTTGTTGAATCAAATTCATTTTTCTTAATGAATCTTGTATTTTGGTAGGAGAAATTTTAGGTTTCTGATATTGTATGATTCCAGCTTGGGTAGATGTAGACGATTTTTTAGAAATCGCCAGAAGTTCGATATCTGGAGATATGTCTCGTCCTCGTTATTAACTTTGCTTGTATTTTTCTCCTGCAGTGTGAGTCTTTCTGCTTCACATTCAGGGGCTATTGCTGCCCATGCGTCTTCTCCGATGCGGCCCTCCTGTACATCATCCCATGCTTTCTCTAAATCATCTGCATCCCTCTCAAAGCGAGCTCTGTTTTCATTAATGATGTTCAATACGGATCTTTTTCCGATTTTTCCATTGAAAATGTAATGTTCAAAATTGAAGAATTCTTCAGGTTTGATTATTACAGTTCTGTGTGGTAGGTACAGTTGAAGCAATGTCAGGAAGTAATCATTTTCCTGCTTCAAGCGATTGAATCGGGGGTAGCGGATGACAGCTTGTTTTCCTTTCTTTCTTTCTTTTATGTACCCTAGTCCATTATTCAGTTCATAGTGCAATAGCTGTGCACCTTTTTTGGAAGAAGTTGGAGGTCTAGAGGCTGGATAGAGAGAGTAATATGAGCAGAACTCTGCCAAACATTGTTCATCAAATGGTTGTCCAATTGGTCGAGCGTAATATTTGTCAATGATGGAGGACATCCATATATTTTCACTGTTTCCTTTTCGTGATTTCAGTATGTTCAAAGGAAGACTCATCTTAATTGCATTGCTTCCTGTGGGAATGAATACAACTTCTCTTGAGCATTCTTTCAAATGCATGCTGCAAACTCTGAAAACAGCTTCCTGTGCAGACACTTCTCTGTTTTGGACGTAAACCTGAGCAATGTGTTTCATTGCAGTAGCCGCATCCTTGTTGCCCTCTCGTGCTTCTTTTTGTGCATTTCCTATAAGTTCGCCGACTTCGGCTTCTGCTTTGCTGATATATGATAGTATATAAGCTACACATGAGTAAGGGTCCATAACATATTGAATGTCCATGTTTGCATTCCATGCACGCAGTAAAGTTGGATTGTAATTGTTAACCCAACCATCTTCTACGTTTCTTTTGTAATATATCGTGTTTTTCTTCGTATTTGCAGACAGACTTTCCTTGAATTTGGCGTAAGTAATATTACAAGCAAGTAGAATGTCATCAAATGTTAAGTTAGATTCTGTTGAGTTGATTATTCTCCATATATCTTTAACAATTTGTTTTGGAGATCTCTCGGCACCAGATTTACATAGGTGTTCAATTTCCTGAAGTGTTGGCATGTTAGTGGTTTGATTTTTTTCTCTCTCCTTGTTTTCATTGTCTTCCTCTGTGACTTTTACAAGAAACGTTTTGCGTATTGGAGGCCTAGGGAAATTAAATCGACATGTCGTTGAGTTCTTCTTGCATGACTTTGTGTGTGTCTTACTGTGAACCTGTACAGCATTAACAATATCATGGAGTTCAGGATCGCTTTTCTCATTTGGCATGGAACATGATACATATTTATCAACAAAAGTACAGATTTCTTTCTCTGTGTTTTCGTTTAATTTAGGTGCATTCCTGACCCACAATAAACAATGGATATGTGGAGAGCCGCGCTGCTGAAACTCTGTTCGGTAGAAGAAATCCACTACGTCTCCGACTGGTTGTGAAGGGGACATAATTAAGTCTGTGAAAAGTCTTTGCACACGGTTATTAAATAATCGGGCACACATCACAGGGTTTTCCCTTATAAGGTGGCATTTTTCTGTCCATTCTATATCTCCAGGTGATCTTGGGTCTTCCGGGTCTTTTAATGCATTGATTGTTTCATCCCATCTAGTTTCACCAGCGGAAAACGTTATAAACCATGTCGGGATTCCTAACTGCCGAATCATGGCGTATAGATCTTTCATTGTTCTTTGCCAATATGGAGGCGATCCGCGTACTGGTTGTAAGAAACGAAAACCAGCATCTGATTTAAGAATTTTCTGTAAATCATTAGCATTAGTAAGCATTGACGCCGTTACTTTACCTCCATCATTTGTATTTCCTTTCCCTTTCCGTAAGGCTATAGATATGTTTGATCGAATGTTTGACATTTCAATCATGAATTGAGCAAAGAAGATAAACTGATTATCTCTTGCGAATCTTTTGTCGGCGCAAAATAAGCGGGCATTGAAGTATTTTGTAGGGGACAGTTTTATAGGTCGATCTTCAAAGTATCCGAATTTGCCATCTGGATAAAGGTTTGGAAAAGCCATTGCATCCGCTCCTTTTTCCTGGAAGATACTTTGCGGTGTTTGATTTTCACCGGGCGCAATGCAAAAAACTTTGTTCTCTGTGTCTAGATACTCTTGTCCTATATCAACAGGCTGAGAACACGTTTCTACTGGTTGTGTGTGCATTGTCAAATTCTCCTGTTCTGAACTTTCATTTTCTTCATCCGAAGAATTTTCTTGTTCGTCTACTTTAACTAAATCTGAATCTGTTTCGGGGTCAAACCAGCTATCACTGAGAGCTATATTTGAATACCATGGGTTATGTTTCTTGAGGAATTCGACGGCTTCTATTACTCTTTCTGGTCTAACCCATTCGTACTGGTAATGACCTTTGTATGACAACTTTCTTTTAAGTTTAACTTTGATCATCTGAGCTTCATTAATAGTTCTAGGCAAAGACGTTGTCACACTATTGATGTTTGAAGGAACGTGAACAATTTGTCCTTTGACACCTTTTTGTCCACCTTTTGGAAGTGAGAGGAGTTTCATAAAAGGAATTCGAAGAGCAACAAGTTGTCTTTCGAGGTGGTTTAAAATTTTTAGCTCCTCAGGCACGATAGTAAGCTGTAATCCATTTTCGAGAGCTTGCGGTGGCATGTTACCTGCACTTAGATGTCTATCACATGTATGGCATATCCACTCCTTCGACTCGAAAATATACTGCCCACTTAGACATCTTGTAGCATTACTTGAGAACTTGCCCTTTAAATACTTGGAGCGGTTGCAGATCTTCACTTGAGATTTGTAAAGCGTCCTTGCACACACGGTACACGGATATGATGGAATTTTCTTGATGTTCTTAGTGAATGTTTGCAATGCAACATGAAGATTTTTGCGTCGTTGATTCACAGCTTCTTTTTTCTTTATTTGAATCTTTGGATTCTTGTGATATTGTTGGAACAGGAGCATTTTCAGTTTATGGCGAAATAAAGAATTGGATGCATACCGTTTTATTGATGACGCTTTTACATTTTGTCTAAAGATGGTATTAGATCTGTACTTCTTGAATGAGTAGTAAAGAACACATTTCTTGAAGTTCAAATTTTCGCTGTATTTTTTCTTAGATGCTGATTTAACATGCTGCCGGAATGCTTCGTTTTCTTTGTATTTCTGTTTAGAAGCTGCTTTTGTACGCTCTTGAAAAATTAGGTTCTCTTTGTATTTCTGCTTCGAAGCTGCCTTTAACCGTTGTTGAAACTTAATGTTCTCTTTGTATTTCTGCTTCGAAGCTGCCTTTAACCGCTGTTGAAACTTAATGTTCTTTTTGTATTTCTGCTTCGAAGCTGCTTTTCTTCGCTGTTGAAACTGTTTGTCCTCTTTATATTTCTCTTTAGAAGCTGCATTTTTACGCTGTTGAAACATTTTATCTTCTTTGTATTTCTTCCTAAATCTTTCTTTTTTACGCCGTTGCAGTCCTTGGTCTGAAGAATATTTCACTTTTTTCTTCTTCCTATTCTCTTCCTTGTTTTTAGCATACATTTCTTTTTTCTTGAGAGCCGTTGGATTTTCTTTTTGAACACTAAGAACAACATCATAGTGATTCAAATTTCGATGGTAAAGATATATTCCATCTGTTACATCGGATTGTGAAGGACTGTGTTTCATCCATTTCCAATGCGGTCCATATTTGGAATACACATATATATCAACTTTAAGCATATCAGCAGCAGTGAATATTTCTGTTTCAGTCGCCCATATTCTTTCGCATCGCATTGATGTATTTGATAAATATGCTTCTACATTTCCACAGTACTTGTTCGGAAGAGCGCTGCTTAATTCATCCTGATGCACAAGGAGATGATTGCAAATATGTGATCTAACTTCAGAATGGTATTCTTCTGAACCTGTTATTATATATGACAAGGCACTAAAAAAACAGTTTCCATCAGGTTTTGTTTCGTGTAGCAATGCTGGATATCCTAAGTCTGTACATGGTTTCTCATTTTCAAACGAACAGTTTATGTTGTTTAGTTTAAACTTTTGTGCAGTTTCTAATCTCCAAGGTTCACTGACTGGATTATATATCAAGTAGGGTCTTATTTCATCTCGCTTTAATCGTTTTCTTCTTTTGTCTTTATTTCTTTTTTCCCGACTTGAAAGGGATCGTTTTCGCTTGACCATAACTGTACTTTCATTGCCCGTGATTAGCTTGATTTAGGCCTGAAAAGATAGTTTTATTGTATTTTCACAGTCTATGATAGGAGGTATATTAGTACATACTTTTATACCTCCTTGGGAGCTCTTTATAAATTTCCTAAAATTTGGAATGTAGAGAATTAATTCAGAATATTTTTTTAATTTGTAAAAAAGAATTGCATGATTTGTGAATTCATAGAGAGCTCCTGTTAATTTAACAATCTATATTCATATATGTGTACAGATACAAACAATACAACATAACAAGTATATGGCTGTCTGCCGCCACACATTGACTATTTTCAACCTTTAATCTAAGTTTTGATTAATAAATATATATTTAATTTCTTTGAAGGCATTCTAGTGAAGGTGTGACGCCCAGCACCGCGACGAGGACGCCAGCCATTTTCAAGCCATGTGTTTTCGTCTATTTATGTCATCATTGTTTTTTTTTTAATTTAGAGTGATTTTTCAGTTCAATTTTTTGTTAAATCTAAATTTCGAAAATTTCTTTGTAATAAACCCACATGGCTTGAAGGTGCCATATTCTTTTTTTTATTATCATGACAATGAATGTTCAAATACAGTATCAGTTGGCAAGAAAAAGGTGTTTGCATTGTAAAAGACATGGCATATTTGTGATACAAGTAAATCAGTCATTATCATGGATACTAACATAGATGACTTGTTATTAATTACAAAACTTGATATTATCTGCAAAAACAAATATAACTCTACTGTACAAACTTCGTCAGTTTTTTTCTCCAAAGATTATTGAGCAATGTACAAAATCATAAAGTAATAGTAATAAGTCATTAGAAACAGGTATAGTTATCAGGCATCTCAAAATCAACTGTAATCACTTTTTTTCTTACACCGACAGAGCACTGTTGTCACTATCCATTATTCAGTTCGATTAAAGTTTATGTACAAGACTTCCCCCTTTGAATAGACATGTTTTCTCGACAGTTTTTTAGTTTTGCAATTTTTTCTCGAGAGTCGATCAAATGCATGTTTCTTTACATCTTAGAATCGTCTTTTGCAGTTTCCATTTGCGTCACCACTGGACTATTAATGTCAACAACTCCTTTTGAATTCAAAGCCTGACTGCTCTCAACCTCCTCTGTAACCCCGGTAGCACTAATGTCAACATCCTCAATCCAGCTTGTGTCGAGCTCTCTTTCTAATTCTCGACACTTTTCCTCGAGATCTGCTAAATTAAATTCAAATTTTCTATTCTTTTCTTTCAGTTTTTGTATTTCCTTTTCAGACTCATGTAATTTTCTTTTAAGGATGGCCTCTTCTTTTTTAGTGGCAGAAAGCTTTAGTTCTATTTCATGGTGCTGTTCTCTAATGACTTTCACACCCTGCTGAACTTGACTCGTTATAGAATCGACAAGTTTTAGGTGCTCCTCCGATAACTTGTCTTCTTGGCGTATTTTGAAACAAAGACCAACCAACTGCAGAAGTGACGCATCAATTGAGTTCATGTTCTGAAAAGAACATCCATATGCTATTTTTTTTTTCAATTTATTATGTAGAAATGCATCCACAATAATACTAATATGTATTCAAATGAATGCTGTCTATTTTTCTTCATGATGACCATAATATAAGTAGTACTTGCTTTAACAGCATTAGGTTTTTTTTTAACCAAACAAGGTACATGTATATGGCTATTTGCCACCACACATTGACTTTTAAGCCATATCAATCTCTTTCCTTAAAAAATTTTCAGCTAAAAGATTTTTTTTCTGGCAGGCAGGTAAGTGAAGGTGTGGCGCCCGGCACCGCGACGGGGACGCTAGCCTTTTTTCAAGCCATGTGTATTTCCCAAATAGCTGTATTTCCTTCCCATTGATTTCTGATATATACTGTGCAGAAATTTGTTTGAGAGAAACGTTTATCATCTTTTAGATTTAATGGTTGATAAAGGCCTACCACATGGCTTGATGGTGCCATGTACCAATTTTTAGTTAATATTGGTCCTTTAAAGGACCATTTATGTACATGTAATTAATCTTAAAATTTGCGACCACATCTTTGAAGCCCAGGCCGCGTTTGGGCTCTTTTTATGCATATGTTATTAGCGATCACATTTTTAAAGCCCGGATCGCGGTCGAGCTTTTGTTTGTACATCTTTCGGGGTAATTTGCGACCACATCTTTAAAGCCCGGGCCGCGGTCGAGCTATTTTGCCTTTATAGTATTTTTGCTTTTTTGCATGTACTTTTTGATTGCGACCACAGATAAAGCCCGGGTCGCGGTCGAGCTCATGTTGCATGTATTTTTCTCTTGATAAAGCTTGCAATGACAATGCAATTGTTGCCTATATATCCGCCCCTCTGGTATCCGTGACCAATGTGTGCTCTTAACCAAGCACAGGCCCGTCCAGCTTGAGAGCTTAACTTACCAACAGTCAAACTCTCCCCAGGCGGACCCTCGCAAACACAATGTACTGCATGCGGCAGAGAAAGCTCCTTGGTACTTTCTCTGGATGAAAACAATCAGGAGCTCGAGGGGGGTTACTAGGAATTCCCTTATTTTAAGCGTGCACTGAATGTCTTACCTGTGTGACAGATTTGAACACAAGCGTTAATTGCCCGTTTATTTTATTTACCAATATTCCAATGTGTGCTTTCAAGCAAGGCCCGTCCAGCTTGAGAGCTTAACTTACCAACAGTCAAACTCTCCCCAGGCGGACCCTCGCAAACACAATGTAGTGCATGCGGCAGAGAAAGCTCTTTTGTACTTTCTCTGGATGAAAACAATCAGGAGCTCGAGGGGGGTTGAGCGTGCACTGAAAGTCTTCACTGTGTGCCCTGAACACCAGCGTTAATTGCCCGTTCTATTTACCAATTTCCTCTTTCCAACAGAGGATAGCATGTCAAATGATAGACCATACGTCTTCGTGATCCAGTTCTTCTAAATGCCGTAAGTCGACTTGTCGACCATAAGTCGACTTGTCGACCATAATTGCCTTAGCAGGAGTTCGTTACTCGAATCACCTGCTCCATACTATAGGAAATGGCGTCTGGGACATACCGACGTAACGATTTTACAGCCTAGTAAGAGGGGAAATGCAACCCCTTGCCCGGTTGAGATTAGTGTCAAAGTTAAGAGCATTAATGGCCCTTGCCGCCTTTGCCCTGGGTCTATCCTGGTCAGTTTGGAGGTTGGAGTTTTTAATATAAGTAACTGGCACATATGTGGGCGTAAATTTTACCCGCCCACGGCAGGTCTCAAACCCAGTCTGTCACAGTCTAGAGTTAAGAATCCAGCGCGTTACCGACTGCGCCACGCTGTCCTTTTACCCTTCCCCAGTTCAGATTGATGTCAAACTTTTGAACAACTGTTTCCTGGGTAGTTTAGAGTATGTGATATACTACATTCTTAATGGGAAAAGCAACTGGCGAATGTTTTGTCGAAAAATTACTTGCCCACAGCGGGACTCGAACCCAGTCAATGTCAGACAAGAGTTTGAAGTCCAACGCGCTACTGACTGCGCCACGCTGTCCTTCTTTCATTGCGGTTAAAAAATAGGCGTTTATAACAGTTTATATAAATGATCAAAGATTTTGTTTATTTCTATTTTAAAGTAATATTGTGTGATAATAGATTATTTATAAGATTTGCAATTAATAATATAAGACGTGAACCCCTTTTTTTGACAATATTTACATTTCACAAGTGGATATTTCTTAGATTTCTTAAATGGTTATTTTTAGAATATTGTGCATCGGGTTTTAGAATAGCTATCAAAATAATATAAAACCAGAGTCCCGATTTGCAGAAGTATAAATGTTTGACCATTCCTAACAGACGCTTGCAGGTTATATTTTATTTCATATTGTTTTAAAAAGAGCCATGAAATTTCGGAGTATGTTCTCCAGGCGTGCCTATTCTTATACATGTATATATATGTTCACACAACAACAAAAAATTAAAATGTGCTCCAAAACACTCAGTTGTGTTATTTTTCATTTAGCATGTAACAAAAATAAATGTGTTAACTGAATGTTCTCAACTATAGTCAGAATTGTTTGATCTATGCACATAGTTATAAATACGACAAAAAGGGAAAGTGAGAAAAAAAAATATTAATCCTTATTTCGTCGGATTAACTGATTATTTTAAAGCATTTTGCAATTTTTTTTAAAGAAATTGCAATTGTGTAATATGTAACATAATCCAAAAGGGTAAATGCGTAATGCTCTTTCTCTCTCTCTCTCTCTCTCTCGTGTTCTTTTTATGAATTTAAGGTTTATATCACGGAGTAGTAACAAGTAACATCACATAATGATAATTTAAGTCTAGATTTCGTCGTGTGACGTATCTTCATTGCTTCTGTATCCACATCAATCCATGACTAAGATCTATATATGCTGCATTTTATTGCACAATTATTACAGAAAAGCAGCACTAGCTAGAACCCCCAGTTTTCACGGTACTTGAAGTGACTGGTTAGTGATCCATACGCTATTGATACCATGCGTTAACCATGTAGTTATGTTACATGCTAACCAGCATACTACAGAAGGTGATTAGGGATCAAAGGGTACATATACTAAAGAAGTGAATTTTATTCATATTATCAATCTGATAAAGGTCGCATGCACACGTGGCATAGTGGTTTGAGTGTCTACTGTAGAGCCGAGGAGTGAGAAGTTGATCTTACGTCTCGCGCTCGAATCCCAATTTGGGACGTGGAGATGGGTCCTTCGGAGAGACCGTATAAACCGAGGTCCCGTGTCGCAGTAATTGCTGGCACGAAAAAGATCCCTCACTGCTCAATGACCGCAAGTGCCCAGTATGGGACAAAATTTGCAGCTCTCCAACGGCAAGGGGCAGCGTTTCCTGTGAAAAAGTCTGAAGAGAGGGACGTTAAACAACATACAGCAGAAACTTAGTAGCAACAGGGGAGCAGGGGGGAGAGAGCTGCTCCCCCCTATTTTTTTCAGCATTACTTTAACTATTGAAAATGTT